GGTGGTCCCCGAAAGCGTCGAGCCTGCCACGACAGCTGCACGTGCGGGGGGCGAGCGGCAAGGGCAGGCGCAGGCGCCGCAGGAGCAGAATGCGGAACTGCGCATTCGGAATGGACACGGCCCTCGTGCGTGGGCGCGACGGCGATGGCTCATGCAAAGTGTGGCCCAGCCTGCGACAGCAGCAGCGCACGGGACGCAAAGGTGAGGTCAGAAAGATGCGTCGCGCACGCGCGCTCGTCGCACGCTCCGGCAGCTTGGCGCTGCCATCCCCGCGCTGGCGGCGCGTCTGAGGCGTCAAGCAGGGAAGCCCACGCCGGCGCATCGTAGCCGGTGGCGCGAAGGGCATCGCGTGCCTGATTCGCAGCGGCCGCTGCGGGCAAGGGCACATGGCCCTGCAAGGCCTGGAGCAGCCGGTCTGCAGCTACCGGCGCTCGGGCTTGGATAACGGGCAGTGTCTCACACCAGGAGGCCCAATGGGCAGCTTGGCGGGCAGCAACGGCGGAACGCAGACCAAGCCCCCCAAACCGCAAGGCCGGCTGCGCCGCGCGCAGGCTGGGAGCAGGCAGGGGCGCGGCCTCCAGCTGCAACAGGCGGGTCAGGCACTGGGCGACTGCCGCGTCGTGGTCCCGCGCATACGCCTCGGTCTGGTGAGGGGGGAGGACCCGGAGAAGGTGGTTGGCCCGTGGCGCAGCGCAGAACAGGAGCAGGAGCCACGCTGCCTGCAAACTGGACAACTGCGGGATGCGGCCGAGCAGTCGGTCATGCTGCGCACGTTTGAGGCGTAGCTGTGCATGGACGTACGCGTCATGACCCAACGGCGCGCCCAGCACGGTGAGGCCTTGCTGGTCGGGTGGGAGCGACCAGTCGCCGACCCACGCTGGGTCCGCGGAGCCAGCGGCGGCCAGGTCGGCTATGGACGGGGGCTCTTCACCGGCCACATTCCATATGCGGGTCTTGCCCGCATGCAATCGCTAAGCGGGCAAGATCGTTGGACGTGCGTGGGCGCGTGTGGCTCAAGGCGTTTCTGTACGGGTGAGTCGGTTAATCGGCTCAGTCTGGCCGGAAATGTCTAATTGCAGTACGCGCTTGTGATAGGCGTACTTTTTGCCCGTAGAATTAGTATTATGTGCACGGGCGAATAGAATAATACTAGCCAGTGTATTAAAAGCATGAATGTAGTGAACGAAATGAATGTAATGAATGCGTGTGTTACGTTCACGCTTACATTAATTTCATGCGTTCATTCACTCTGTTCATTCGCTTATATATATATATATATATGTATAAAGCGTTCTCTTCACAGCATTAATATTCTTAATGGTGTGTGAAGAGAGCGGAGTGAGTGACTAAGCGAATGACTAAAGTACGAAGAGCATACTTTAATGGCGTTTTGTAATGAATGACAAGGAAGCACGAAAACGCCCATTAAAATATGGTTGGCCCGAATGGTGTTCGCCACTGTGTCAAGAAAGCGTCGCGACGGTCTGGTAAACAAACTCCAGCTCCGAAGGGTCGGCGCAACGCTGTACGAAGCGAAGGGCAGCTCGCGGGGGAAGTGAACGGGGAGGCAGCCGTGGCCGATGGCTGCTGGGATGTTACCCGTCCAAACCAGTCGCTTCCCACCCTGGCCGCGGTAGGCGTCGGCCCCCAACCGCCTGCGTGCGCCAACCCGCCGCCCTTCCCCATCCCACGATTGGGACCCGCACGCGCAAAAAGGTGCGAGAAAAAAAACACATCTGTCGCCACCACGACAAGTATCTCAGCGCGGCCTTCCTGAATGCAGCAAACATGGTTCAACGTTGGCCCCTTGAGCTGCAATTCGTCGGCCTCTCGGCCCACTGCATGCTAGGCCTGAGCTGCACATGCTGTACCGCAGCCGTTGAAGCCGGCGTCGCTGCCTTCACCTCTCGGTGGTTTGCCTTTTGCCATCTCCGCCAGAGCATTCGGGGCGAGCTTGCTTGGCCTTCTTTGCTTCCCCGCAGCGAACATCGTCCCGGTCTCCCAAGCCCGCCATGCACACGGCGCTAGCTGCAGCGGGCTCGAGTCAATAGGGGCATGCGGCTGGGCAGTCTCACCGAGCGGGACTGCGTCCGGCGCGCCCGGCGCAGCGCGCCCGGCACCAGACCCCGAGCACAGAACTGGCGACAGCGCACTGCACGCGACCGACAGCATGCCCTCCAGCGGCGCGCCCAGCCCTGCAGCCGGCAGAGGATCGGTGGCACTCGTCACTGGCCACCAACCTCAGCCGCGAGGACGATCAGCCGCCGCGGTGCCCGCTTTTGCACGTTCTGGGTAACACGCGGCCTTGCGTTGCCGCGCCGCGGCGAGCGCGACTCCATCGCGGGCGTCTGCGCCGGGGACCGGTGCGCGTGAGCAGAAAGACAAGGGTCGCGTCGGCGCGGAGGTCCTGTCCTTGTCGCACCAGAGACAACGAAGTCAAGGCACCGGCGGTCATCTGGCGGGACCTGCGGAGCAGTTGTACGCTTCGCGCACAGGCATGCTCGAGGACGAAGCCGCGCCGAGATAGCAACCCCGTGCGCCGGCACGCAAGGTAGTGATCTCCGTCGGCTTCGCCCCACTTCCCCGGGCGGCCGTCCGCACCACATCGCCTATCTATCGAAGGCAAGAGCCGGAGGCGGCGCCACAATGCCAGGCGCATGAACTCTGGCGCAAGAGAGGTTGCTGCATCCACAGGGATGGCTTTCGGGTTGCACTAATGAGCACATCCACGTCCTGCTGCAGGGATGCTCACGCGGACGGAACTGCCGGCAACCGTCGCAGACACCTTGCGTTTGGGTCCTATGGTGGCGTTGTCGGGGAGGTGCGCGCACTCGTCATTGGGGATGTTCTCCGCAAATTGGTGGCACGGACGATTGCGCAACAATTCGGGCAGGCTTGCCGTCACGCATTGTCAGCACGCCTGAGGCACGCGTTCTGCCCCCGCAAGCCTTGGTCCGTGCTTTGCGATCGGCCACTGAAGTGGACCCTACGACCACATCTCGCGCGCCGGCATGCTCGAAGCCCTGTGCGACCAATCCGCGCTGGCAGGCTTGTTGCCCTACGCAGCGATGTTTTACGGACAAGCCAGCCGCTACCTCTAGATGCCAGCCCGGGGCACGCGGCCAAGTGGTCTCCGAGCTCAGCCTGGCGGGTGCCGCATCGGCACCGGGCGGCAACCAGGGGAAGTGGCATGTGAAGCCTCGAAGCACGTGGAAGACAGCTTTGGGGAAGTCGGCAACACGCGTGCTGCATGGGGCTCGGACTGGGAGTCGGGCATTGGCACAGACGCGGAGCATCGGCGCCTGCGGCCTCAACTCTCCCTAATTTTCACATAGGTTTAGTTTTTTCTCTTTTTTTGGGCTAGGTGCCGTGAAGGTCCGGGTAAAGTAGCCGATGTTTTTCTTCTTTTCTCTCCGCACACGTTTTGCTCCGGACTGTCCGCGGTCAAGTGCGTCGCTGAGCTCAAGGAGAGCTACGGCAGACGGCTGGCAAGGGGGGGGGGGGCATTGGCCTGCATGGTCTGCGCAGCCACATCTCTGGCGGGATGGTGCTCCAGCGAGGTGCCGCTCACTATGGTCAACTCCGTCCCGTTTGTGTTAAGCACCGACGCTGGTCACGCAAATTTTGATCGGGAATGAAAGCGAACATGACTTGAACGACATCACTTTCGCTCAAATATGTGTGGAAAAGAAGTCGCCAGCCTGTCGATTTCCCTTGCGTTAGGTCGATTTCCCTTGTGATAGACCTGCGGAGCAACATTGTTTGGCTTACACCGTGAAGGAACCTTGAGGCGCGTTGGATCCGCGGAAGGCCTTCGCTCCCAGCGTCAGTCACGAGGTGTACGCCATAGCCGCTGTGTACTCTGCGGATCGGAGGTAGTCGTCGTCGGCATGCCTTCGTGATCGGTATGGCGGCCATGCATATCTTGATGTGTTCCCCACAGCACGCCCTTCCTGCGCCATGCAACCACACAACTGACAACACCAACCACAAGCACAAGCACTTGCAAATCAAAGACACTTCAACAACATCACTCCCTGAGGTGTGTGTGTGTGTGTGTGTGTTCAATCACTGTGCCACCAGGTTGACGTCCAAGAAATGCTGTGCTGCTTGATGCTGCCTGCTGAGATGTTTTGTGGTTGCCATTCCGCAGATGCATGCCGAAAGGCTGGGCCCGCGTCCTTCAAATCCTTGGCGTGTGCCGAGCCGTAGGCACGCCACTTGCACGTTGCTTGCACGTTACTTGCACGTTGCCGACTAATCTGTGGCCTCGCTCGTTTGCCTCACTCTTTTTTCGTGCCTGCCTTGTTTTCGTGGCTTGGTATGCTTGAAATGTCGTCGCCTTCCTAAGTACACCTGGGCCTGATGACCATGCCCATTGACATCTTGGACCCGCACGTCTTTCGTTTTGCGCGGCGATGCCGTCCCACGAGGACAACAACAGCAGCTGCAAGGGAAACCAGGAAGAGAGATGAAATGGAACAATGTGTTTCAACATGAACTGTCTATTGCAGTGCTCAAAGCATTTTGACACCAGCATCTTGCGCTGTGGAAACAGTGTCTCAGGACTATTCAGCATTGGCATTAACCGATAATCAAGCAATTAAGGATGGAGACTGGCTCAGAGGGGCTTGTGCAAGATCTTCTTCCACACAACGACGCCGGTGCCGAACACAAGCAGCATAGCACCTCCCACAACCAGAGCATGCCCAAGAACTCTACCTTCCACCTTCCGGAAGAACAATTTGTCCTCCTTCTGTGATCGAGCGTACTTGTAGCCCCATGTCAGCAGCAAACCCGGATACACCATTGTGATCAACGAGCCCAGAATTGCACCTCCCAGACTGTTCAGCACGCCGAGGTCCTCCAAGCACCACCCAAGAGTACCAATCACCGTGAGTAGCCCCAGTGTCAGTGGGACCCAAACTCGGCGGCGAGAAGAACACGCAAAGAGTGACAACGCCGAATCACGAAGACCTGTGAAGGCAATTGGAAAGCCGAATGTCACTGCCAGAAGCATGGCAGATCTCGAAGCTGAAGCACCTGGATCGTTGTCTGAGTAATTGTGCAGAATGTTGCCGGAACAGTTCTTCCCAAATGTCAAGTACCCGACCACCATGCAACAGAGGAACAAGACGAGCGCAGCTGTGAAGCTAGCAGAGCTGGCTACAAGAAACTGTCGAGGAGTCCGGTGTCTGAGCTGATGGTAGAACTTCGGGGCGTTGTAGTGAGCGAGGAATGCGGTAGCCATGCTTGCAATGAGGCTCAGCGTGGAAGGACTTATGGTCCATACTTCAGGCCCGCCGCCGTCCTTCCAAGCCACCTGAGTGCCCGATCTCTGGCTGGCGTAGAACTCGCCACCGGGCTCATAGGATCCATCTGCCCAGCGCCATATCATGAAGAAGACCACGCCAGCCTCGCAGAGAAGTCCCACAAAGCTGGTCCATGCAAGCTTTCCCATGTCTCGAAGCAAACATAGGGGCAAGAGGACGCATAACAGTATGGTCAGCCATGCGCCACGCTTTGTTGTAAACCAGGACTCTCCTTCAAATTGAGAAAGAACATCCTCTCCGTTCCTTCCGATTACCAAAGCATAGGCGGTGCAAGTGAAACACGTCTTCACCAAGTTCGTAGCTGCCATCAAGTTCCCAAAGAAAGCTCCATCGGTGACTTTTTGGCCCATGCCCCTGTGGTTTTTCTCTTCTGTTGCCTCGCAGACACGTCCCAACGTCCAGAACGAGTACACCATGACAACGTAGAATACCAAGGTGACACAGATTCCAGAGATGATTCCCGTGCCAGCAGCCAAGCCTGCTGGGAGGCTCAGGATGCCTTCACCAATGATGTTCTTTCCAATGTTCGCTGCAGTCTGCCACGTGGGAATGCCCTCATAGCCTTCGTCATCGCTGGTCTCCACATCCGAGTCAAAGATGGAGTCGTCCTCGCTGGCCTCCGAGGCAGACTCGGACAGCTCCATCATGCGGCTGGCCATCTCGAGCGCGTTTTGGGAGGGGCGATCTAAAATGACACGCCCACTCTTTCGCTCTAGCTTTCATCAGCCAGCTGCTGCGGCGATGCATGGTCTACCTGCCCTACTCGCACTCAGAATCGCACAGTGGCCCACTCAATGTTTGTTGTGTGCAACGATGCAGGCTGCTGCTGGAACGCTTTTGCTTTTGTAGCTTGAAGCAAGGTCGAGAGAAAATCGAGAGACTGGCAGAGCTCTTTTTGCTCAAGCCTAGCGGTGTGAAACATCTGTCCAAACAACATCAAACAAAAAATGCTCAAACATGCTCAAACATGCCTCTACAAGGTGTTGAGCTTCGACGAGTTCACGACGAGTTGCACGCTTTGCCTTCATGTGTGCAGCAGTAGCTCTTCCTCTTTGCCGCCCAGCTGGCTGCTCGATCCAAACCTGTGCTGCAATCAACTACAAACGGAGTGTCCTCTGTTCGAGGTACCTGCCTCCATGTCCAAACACCATCAGTTTTCACATGGACCCACGAGTTGCCGGAGTGGAGATGCACAGCTGGCGGGTTGGGGCCAGTGCATGAGATGCCTTGGTGGGCACAGCACCAATCCTGCTTTGCACTCGTCCAGGCAGTAACAAAGTTGTGGAAACCAGCGTGGCAGTTGTACTGCTCAGTCTGGTGATGGTGATGTACATGCAGAGGTGACTCGACCCAGGTCCAGTAGCCATGCACCTGTCCAAAGCCAAGAACTGCTCTTTGCAAGCTGAACACTAAGAAGGTCAACCGCAAATTATCGTGACTGTTACCACCGAAGTTGAAGCTGATGAATGGGGGGGGGGACATGTCCTGTCAGTGCTGTCGTCGAGCTCTCCCGTGTCTGCAATGTTACGCTAGCCGCTAGCCTTAGTCAAAGCTCCGTCGCTCTAATATTATTCTGCTTACATCCGTCCACAAAACTACGGAATGGAACCGAGAACCTCTAAGCCAACCGCTACCTATGAGGGCGGCACAAAACCGGAACCAGGAGATGTCACGAGCGCGGGAACATTAGCACGTGAAACTCTTCCCACTCTGCTAGTTACAGATCTGGGCGTGCCCTGGATGGTGTGACATGGTGTGACATGGTGTGACATGCCTCGGCACGCTGCCAGCCGTAGCCATGTCTGGCTGGTAGATGCGGTGGACGAGGGCCCATGCATCCTTTGCCCTCGTGATGGCAGCACCATGACTTCTTTCTGTCGGACCATGCCGCATGGAAGTTCGAAAGACCAGCTTCGCAATCAAATGACACAGGACAACCCAGGTGCTCGTGGGTGCAGCACCAGTCCTTCTTCTTCGAGGACCATCCAGCATCCAGATTTGTTTTTCCTGCGCGGCAGTTGAATAGAGGTGGCGGAGGTGTCGTTGATGCGGACGTTGACGGGGACGTTGACGGGGACGTTGACGGGGACGTTGACGGGGAAGTGTGAGATGATGATGTTTCTGTCGTTGTGCTTTGATCACAGCCTTTCTGGTCATGCTTGCAGCACCACTGTTTCTTTGCCTCAGACCAACCATGCTGCCATCTACTGAATCCTGCCGAGCAATCAAAAGGCATAGATGGAGAGTGAGTGGTTGTGGAAGTCGGGCATCCCAGCGAATAAGAGGTGCAGCAGTACTGCTTCTTGGGCTCCGACCAGCCACGCTGCCAGTTTGAAGAGCCGGCTTGGCAATCGAAAGGCTCTGAAGGGAAAGATGGACAGCCGAGCTGTTCTTGCTCACAGCACCATGACTTCTTCGCATGAGACCAGCCTGACCTCCACTTTGAAAGGCCTGCCTGGCAGTCGTAGAGTATGTTTTGACTTGCACAGCCCCGGCCAGCGTGAGTACAGCACCAGTGCTTCTTTCCCCAAGACCAGTCCGTCTCCCATCGATCAAAACCGGTCTCACAATTAAAGCTCAGTCGAAAGTTTGTACAGCCAATTTCCTGAGTGCTACAACACCAAAGCCGCTTTCCCTGTGTCCAAGCCGACTGCCAATTCTCAAGCCCAACTTGGCAATCATAGGGCTCAGCAGGTCTACTGCCACAACCACGGCCAGATCGAGCACAGCAGAACTCCTTCTTTTCAGGAGACCACATGCTCTGCCACTGAGAATAGCCTGCGTCACAATCGTACAACTGGCCACATGCCACTCCGATGCTTCTGCAACAGTAATTCTTTTTCGAGTCACTCCACCTGGTTTGCCATTCGGCATAACCTGTATTGCAATCAAAATCATCATAACTACCCGTGTCACGGACGGGTGAGCCGGTACTCCTCCTGAGAAGATAAGCCACCATTGCCACAAGAAGGACCAACGAAAGCAGAAGAAAAACCAAGCAGCAGCTTCGCAGCTTCCAGCCTGTGTAGGACGTCACGTCTTCCTTGTCGTAGTTGCCAAGGCCCGGCCCAACATGCTGGTACGTTTGGATTTGCCTATAAGTACCAAAGCCTTCGGGTACACGGCAAAAATCTCCACCCGCACCTCTGTCGAAATTTCCTGCGCCGGGACCCACATTCTGAAATGTTTCAATTTGTATGTAGGAGCCTTGGTTTGGCCCAACCTGATTCCACTTTGACGTCCTCTCCTCTCCAACAGGCTCAAAGAATAATTCCTCCAAACCTGCCGGCATGGCAATGCGGCCACTACTATGCCATCAGTTCTTCCTGAAAGACAGCGAACATGAGGCGGCATCCCAGAATTCATGCATACAGAAAACCCTAGCATGTGAGTGTATCGTAACGCATGCAAGCATAACTCAAAACCTTTTCTGAAGCGATCACACTGCGAAGATGGTGAAACAGCTTCCTCCTCCAGCTGGCAATTCAAGCAGCGATTTCGCAGCGAGACAAAGCCAGACACTTTATGATTGCTAGTCTTTCAGCCATATTCGTGTAGATCGTAGGTCTTCAAACCTGCCCAGGTCTCTCGAGCATCCCTCAACCCAAACAGCAAAAGCACATATGTGATCAGAGCGCGTCCATGGTTCCCTCCCCTCGATAGTTGCCCCCTCCCCTCCCGCGCCGCCCTGTGGTTTGGTGTGGGGGTTAGGGTTTGGGGTTCAAAGTTTAGGGTTTAGCGTTTAGATGCGTTTAGTCTTTAAGGTTTCGGTTCTATGCGGGGATACCAGGAAGGGGGGGAGTTGAGGGGAGAGGGGAGGGAGGGGGAGGGGGGAAGAGGTGGGGGAGAGGGTCGGGGAACCACGAACCGCGGTCAAAAAATATCTCACTCGAAGCGCTGCTACGCGTGACAAGGCACATCCAAAAGAAAGTCACACCATTGAGTCGGACGGCACCCACCTTCCTCTGTAAGGATTCTTGCGCTCATCATAACCAGAAATCGCCAATGGGGGAATCCGAACCTGCGCGCGCTCATCTGCTCAAAACCCAGATGTTTTCACTGCAGCAATGGATGACTGCTGCCCTGCCTGCCCGGTCTTCTCGCACATGACCATTGTGCCCTTCATAATAGCTCGCTTGTATTTTTTGCGTATAGGCAATCGGTTGTAGTACTGGCGCCTTAGCCATCAAGAATAAAGAGATGGCAAAATTGCACCAACCTGTCAAAGATGCACTATGTGGTGGCAATTCAGGGCAGAACAGCAGGGAGACGGAGTTGATCATGTTCGATTTGTTTCGCACCTGAGCATATAACAATCGCAATCAACCATTGTCTTGTGTCATCACGGCTACCACAGATTGGCAATGCCTGCACCGCTGCCGCTGCTGCAGCTGCAGTTGTTCCAGCCTGCACAAGTGCATCAGGACCTCCTAACATAATTCGGGATTTTGCGAACATGGCTGCCCGGTCCTGCAAGACATTCGTACATGAAAGACGGCACACGGCAAGAGCATTCATTCCGGCATGCAGCCTAGCATGTACCAACTGGCAATGCAAATTCTAAAGTCATTTGCCGCATGGTAAACTCTTTTGACGACGTCCATCCAAGAATTACCGAATCGCGCCCCGGCATCTGAACATGATCTGTCAATCTGTCAAGAGCAGAGCTCTTCGGCTGCAAGAGACGTTGGGTATCAGAAATTCAAGCAAAAGCTCACATTTTCCTTTCTTTGGCACAGACGCCGTGCTATCGTTAGCTTAGGCCCATCACCACCACACTTGGTTAAGAATGTCAACAAGTTCCCCTTTCGCTGTTTTAAAGCAGCTCAACAGGCATGTTCATCACAGACCAATCTGCAACCCGATCACAACTTGGAACAACTTCAAAATCTCACACAGCAAACAGAAGTCTTTTTTCAAACGGCCAACTGTTGATAGGACCGAAGAAAGTGTTTTATCAACAAGCTGAATGTTCATCTATTCTTCCTCAATAGCAGACTCTCTTATTCGTACACTGTGGAACATATTCTTGTATGAGATGTCAATCAAAGCTCGCACTTTCCTTTTGCGCAGTGGCCGTGCAATTTTTGCCAAGTGGGTGCATCAGCCACCTCCCGTTCAGGATTCACACATGCTTGGCATTGAACGCAAGCGAACTGGAACCTCGTTCAGGTTTAGGGTTTTGGTGTTTGGTTTCTTGTTTTTTCAGGGTCCTTTTCTCTTGAATTCACATTCAGAACACGCCTTTAGACTACGAAAGCCACTATCAAAACCACGCCTGAAGCCTGCTGCACGTTGGAGACTTCTAGACAATAGAACAACGGTCTTTGGGGCTGGAAATGCTCCCAAAAATCAGTTGCATGACTCAGCAGCACACCCGAGCTCACGTTCGTTCGACATGCTCTGATTGCCGTGGGCTCTTGGTTTTGGGGGTGAGTTTTTTGTTCGTCCGACTCCACGGAACAACGCAGCCTTATTGTCCCGATAGTTCACGACTTGCGTTTGTTAGAAATCAAACAGGGCAGCTAACAAATCGAGCTGTGAGACCGGGCCCTGTCATCTTTCATCAAACCAAACCGGTGCAGGGGTTTTTGACATGAGCTAAGCGCGCGCTAAATCCAAATCAAGATAGCTCTTACAGAGAGCAGACATACCGAAAAGCAAAAACGGCGCCACCAACTGGGGTGAAACGGAAAAAAGAAGCCATAAACGGGTCGTCGTGGTGCACTGTGGCTGCAAGTGTTTGCAAATTCTTGCGCATCACGTCAAACAGTCTTTTGAGTGACTAGTGTACTGCTGCAACGTTGAGACAGACAGACTGCACGAGCTTTCCAGATGCCACAATTGCGGATCAAGGCACTCGCATGCGGCTTCAAGAGACCATCTGCATGCCGCTGTGCAATGAATGTTGGAGATGGCTTTAAAACCAAGTCAGTCCTTTCTTGGAAGGTTCGACCCGCTGCAAACATGCCAGGAAGCTTCCAGCATGTTTGCAGCTTTTCAAGCCTCCAAGAAACGATATTCATTGGACAGCTGCACGCAAATGGGCTTTTGGAAGCCGCAATCTGAGGTCCAAACAAGCCAAGCCAGAATTTCTATGGTCTTGGTCAGTTGTTCAGCAAACGACCTTAATCAAACCTTCAACCCTAAAACCCTTAAGCCCTTAAACCCTTAAACCCTTCAGCCCTTTAAACCCTCTTACCCGCAAACCCGTAAACCCTCAAACCCTTAAGCTCTTAAGCCGTTAAACCCTTAAACCCGCAAGCCCTTAACCCCGTACACTCCAGCTCAAGCCCCGACACCCCTCACACCTCCGGGGCGCTAGCTCCACTTAGAGTTAGGGTTCAGGGGTTTGGGTTCACGGCTGGAACATTCCAAAAGGTCTAAAACCCTCTTAGAGCTTGTGCGACATCCTGAACCGTAACTGGGGGAAAGCTTCTATAGACTTACTTGATTGCCAATAATTGATGCTAGCAGCAATGGTTTTCCTTGTTTCTGTTGTGGGCATAGAACTTCAAAATTGCATTTCCATCACCCACAAGCTTGCAACTGGCAGCCCTCGATGGAGAAGACTTTGGGAGCATTATTGGGACAAATGCTTCTTAGTAAGTTTGTGCTGACCCCTTTAGAAAAGGAGATTTGAGAGGGGTAAACAACTCAAGGTTCCCAAATACTTCCAACTACTCCCTAAGACTTCCCCAAGCCTCCTTAAACACCTACCCCCCACATGACCCCCCTTCCTTAAGAACCCTATATGTTAGGAAACTTTCAACTTTAAGGCTTAAACTCTTCAGCTCTTCTAAGTCACATTTTGCCTTTTTGCAACCTTGTTGCACGTTGGGTGGCACGTTCGCATGTTGAAGGTTGGTCCGGTTACACCTGCAATTTCTCGCCATTTTCTTCAAGTAAAAAAAAAACAGACTGTGCGCTGGTTTCATCGCATTTCTTTTTCTTCCGTCTCTTTTTTTTTTGGAAGATAGAATATTCCTCCGGCCTCTTTCCATTCGAATTTGCGTGGGGGGTGTTCTGGATTTAGAATTTCTACGGATCGAGTTCTTGAACGGCATGGCAACACCAACTTTGGGTTTTTTGCCTGACGGCAGAATGGGGGTGCGAAGCACTCTCTGCTTGGCATCAAATCAGGGGGCCACATGGATTACATGGCCCCATTACCTACGACGGAGCTAAGTATGGCCGAAATTTCGGGCGCGGCATGGTGTTCTAGGGCCATAGGGCCAGATTAACAAACCTGTCGGCAGTCTCATCAAGAGTCTCATATTGCCCAGCAGCGTCAGCAGATCCTCAGCAGAAGATCATCAGCAGCATCATCATCATCATCATCATCATCATCATCATCATCATCATCATCATCATCATCATCATATCAGATCATAGCATATCATATATCATCACATCGTGTCATTGTATCATCATCATCATCATCATCATCATCATCATCATCAATCATCGTCGTCATCATCATCCTGCCAGGTCCTGAGTCCTGAGCCCTGGCATCTTGGCAGTCCGGCTTCCCGGCGGTCCTGGTGCTGGCACGCGGTCCTGGCCTGGCATTGCCGCCGCATTGCCTGGCATTGGCATCAATCATAATCGCATCATCGCATCGCATCATGAATCATTATGCATTGTGAAGTATGAATCATCAATCATCAGTCATCAATCATTCATTCAGTCATGACTCATGACATGAGATCATGATGAGCCACGAGTCATGAGTCATGAGTCATGAGATCATCATGAATCAGGAACCATGAATCAGTCACAGTCACAGCCACAGTCACGGCAGTCACGTGAGTCATTGCGGCCGCCGCAACCCATCGGCCACAAACACGGGTCATGAACAATGAAAAAACTGCCTTGGTTTCCTTTCAGCTTTGTTCGTCGAATCCAGCCAAGACTTCAAACTCAGCCCATCTTTCTTTTCTGCTGTTTGGCTTGACGTGCATTTTTTCCTGTTTGCTGAAAAGGCTGAAACAAAACCACCAGCAATGAAACAGGACTTCAAACTAGAAGGGTCACATATCAACTCGAAAGGCCTTGAACGCGAGAGTAAGCCTCTAAGGCCTTGCAATATTGCGTACACATGTTTGCACGGTGGCCGGTTTGCCCAGCCGGGTCTGGGGTTGCGGCGTCTGCGCCTTCTGGCTTTGCGTTTACGTGTGTGGGCCTTCCCTGCCTTCTTAGCAATTTGTTTCAAGATGTCTTTGCCACTTCTGAATTTGGCGGACGTGACCTGAAGCGGCAGACTTTTAGGGTTAGGTCGCGCCGAACTTAAATTTGACACGTGATGTGCACTTGAGTGAAGAACGTGTGCCGACGAGACCGTTCTCCTAGAGGCCGCAGTGCAAGCAGCCTGAGTTCCACAGGGCTTTCTGGTGCGAGGTCACCAAGTGCCCGTGGGAGAAGAGAACGTGGAAGGTCTTTGCAGCACGACCACCTTCACTTCCACGCGGAGTAGACCCAAGGCAGTGGACAGCTACGACTGGAGCAGGCTAGCAGCCACCAGTCGGGGCTGTGCCTTCGTTTGGACCTCAGTTCCACCAGATGGGAACACCCCCTCAGACGGCACCACAAGAACCCCTTCAAGTTCCGAATATGCAGTTGCCCGTTGCACCTGGAGTAGCTCAACAGATGGAGTTCACGAGAGCAATGCTGCAAGCGCAGGACGAGCAGATCCGACAGCAGGCAGCTCAACTTCAACAGATGAGTGCCATGCTTACGCAAGCATTGCAGCTTGCAAGTGCGAATGCTGCCAATGCGCATATTGCAGCAGCCGCAGCTTCATCGTCGACGAGTCCTACACCTGGAGGAGACCCCTCAGCAGCACCTGCGAATGCATCGACTCCTGTGGACATGGAAGTAGACTCTGGTGTACGAAACAAGAGAGCAGAGGGTTACATTCCACAGTTGCCTCAGCTGAACTATGCGTCCATGACGAGCAGACATGCTGAAATCCGAGTTTGGACAGCCTACAGAGACGAACTTACGAGTTGGCTTTGTTTGCTCGACGACCGCTACGCTACGGAATTGCAAGAAGCGATCAGTAGCAATGTGGAAGTCTTGCAAGTGAGGCTTGAAGCCGGGAAAGCAGCCCGGTCAACCAAACTTTGGTTTTTGCTTCGTCAGTCCATGAGCAAGTTCCAACGTGGGCAAGATTTGGTGCATCTCATCGAGGTGAAACAAATGGGAGCAAGTGCCGGATACGAACTCTGGCGCTCGTTGAACAACGAATTGTCAGTTCGCTCCAGAGTGGAGGGACAGGCCC